TCCGAAATGTCACTTTTCGGAACAGTGCCAGTTTTCCTTGCAGCGAACGTCTTTATTCAAGGTAACATCTGCTTCCAAAGATTATCTCGTCTTTTAGTACTTGAAATACCACTGCTTCAAGAGCCTATAGCAGTACACTTAAGAGAGTACTTTTCCAGCTCTAGGGAGCCCTGTGCCACCAGTGTCGTTGGACGAACTTATGGAACTCGGATTGAGCTCCACCGAAAATCTGGTAATTTAACAGAAAATTAGAATGTACGAATTATACCTATCAAATCACACAATCACATTTTGAAGAGCGATTTAGGGATCGCCAACAGCCCCAGTCAACCCAAAACCAAGTGCAACGAATGTTCAAAGCAGACAGTACGTATCTAGAGGCTTATCACATACCGATTTTCTCCCATCAAAATTCTATGGAAATTTAGGAAGCGCGCCGCTACACGTAATTGGTTACTCGAAAGATATTTGACTGCGTCCACAAAAACGCCTGGATGGTTGCACTATCGTAAGTTGAATTCTGGCAAGCTATACTATTAAACTACCTCGAAATCATCAAAAGCAAAATTCGAGAAAAATTAACTTTTAAATTCGCTCAGGGTCAGCCTCGAATAATCGAGAATCTTAAAATCTTGATCTGTGCTGATGGGTTCCATTCAGACTTTGTTCAAATTAGCACACTGAGGTATCAAAAGAGCATATTCGGTAATTTTGCAAGAGATGGCCTTACTTTCTCCCAGACGCCTTCTCCGCTCCTTACCAAAGCCCTATTGGAAGGATTTTTGTACTTTTGCAGCTCTGAGAAGAGGCTCTCGTGGAAGATTATACTATTTCCTTCTAATATTTTCCTAACACAAGTTTTATGACCTACCAATGTTGTAAAGTTATGTACCTCTGGATGAACGAATACGAGTCTTTGTAGCAAATTCGTTCGTATAGTCAATCCAGCTTCAAAAGGCACATTTTATATTTTGTGATGTTCGTGGTGAGAAACTAGGAGAGAAGTACTCTGATATGATGGCCAATATAGTCCGAAAAGTGCGCAACGGAAGCTTCAGTGCTGCTGACATTGTCCCTCAGGGATAAAAGAGCGAGCTAGTAAGGTCCAGGCACTTACTGCCATTTTTTACAACTTTAGAGTTCGCTTTCTTCCCTTCCCTGAAGAAAATTTGGTGAGACAATTTGACCCTAAATTGTGACCTCAGTCTTACAAGAACTGCGAGCTACAATCACAGTTTCATCCTCGAATAAACGCGATTTCATCCTAGTAGTTCCACGTGCGCTTCGTCCCTTCAATTTCACAGACCGCACATGCCTTCCCAGGCTCTTCTGATGTGGTGTTTCTCTTTATTTGCAATCAAGTAAATCGTAAGCTTTCAGAAGACTGCATGGGCAAAAGGTGCTCGCTCACAAGGGTCTGAGCAGCCACATATTGACCGTGCTCTTTATTTAATCAGTTGAGCGAATGAAGAGTACAATCACTCTTGAAACAGAAACATCCTTCACCGAGTCACTCTGTTGATTATAATCTATGTAATTGCAATAAAACCTACTGCATCTAATTTTGTTTTTGATCGGTTGCTATAGAAGGTTATAATGCATGAGATCCTCGGGGTGGCTATCGATTAGGTGGCTACATTACCTTACATGAAAATAGCTCAGGCAGCAAATTCCCATGCTACCAGGTGGAATCGTGCTGCCTTCTGTTGTACACCTTTCATATTCTAAACTAATTAGTTGTGACCGTAATACATCCCTTTTAATCAGGAATATTTTGGAAAAACCAGAATGATCCTATGACTTTTCATAAAGAAACCTTCATGTTCTTTGTTCACATCGCTCACCTTGTTCCGAAATTGTTGCTACTGTACCCTTCACTTTTATGTCAATCAAGCGCCATCAACAACACCTT